TAATAGACGCTGATGAGGCAGGGTTTATACCGGGGAGACAATTATCTGAAAACACCCGCCGAAACACCACCCTTATATGGAAACAAGCAACCACTAACACACCGACACTAATAGTTTCTATTGATGCCGAAAAGGGTTTTGATAGAGTGAAATGGCCTTATCTGTTTTCTTTGCTGACACACTTGGGATTCCCAGACACGTACATTAGAGTAGTGAAAGCCATGTATAGCAATGTGAGAGCGTCAGTACAGATCACTGGCGCACCCCCTACGCCCTTTAGATTACATAACGGCACCAGACAGGGCTGCCCCCTGTCCCCCTTGCAGTTTGTCATGGCTTTGGAGCCGCTGCTGCAAGCAAGATCCCAATATTCAAGGGGTCAAAGTGGGAGGGAGGGAGGTTGAGGCAGCCTATGCTAATGACCTACTCCTGACACTGACAAACCCGGAAGTTTCAATGGCTACCTTAGGGGAGACGCTACATGAATACGGGGAGATCTCGGGATACAAGGCCAACATGGCAAAATCCAGAGCTCTTCCGGTAAGCATGTCCCAAACCGATATAGCGTCGCTACACAGCACATACAACCTTCACATAGAGCGGGACACTCTTAAATACTTGGGGATACCGAGCGCCCTTTACGCCCGTAATTATACCCCCTTATGGAAAACCATAACTAAAGATTTTGAAAAATGGGCAGATAAGCCCATATCATGGATAGGCCGGATCCACTCCATAAAAATGAACGTCCTCCCTCGGATACTATTCATGTTTCAGGCATTGCCCATACACTAATCCAAAGCCCAACTTATCCAAGCGCCAATCCAACAGATAATAGGCCAATTTATTTGGCAAAACAAAAGGCCATGGATATCGAGGCACGTACTGTACCGATCTACACAGAGAGGGGGACTAGGCCTTCCGAACTTGTTCTTCTATTACCTGGCTGCCCAAATGACTCAAGTCGCATTATGGCATTCGCCACTAGACGACCGGAAATGGGTGGAAATCGAATCGCTTATGCTAGGGTCAGACCTACCCCAATTCGCGATGTGGATCCCGAGGGAGGACAGGCTCCTGGAATGCGCCGTATGTCCTGCAGTTATGACCTCCCTCCGGCTATGGGATAAATACGGGAAGAAATATGGGCTGACATTCTCCCTGTCCCCCTTATTGCCCATTCTACGCAACAAAGCCTTCTACCCGGGTATAAAAGCACGAAACTTCCGAAACTTAGAGAGAGCAGGTCTTCAGAGGCTACACCACCTATATCAGGGTACTGATATTGTCACATTCGACGACCTTAAACAGGGTAGGCATCTGACACCGGACGACTTTTTCCGCTATCTACAGATCAGGTACTTCGCCGCCCAACCTTACATTAAAGGACCACTATAGTGCCAGGAAAACATACTCGTTTTCCTGGCACTATAGTGCCCTGAGGGTGCCCCCACCCTCAGGGACCCCCTCCTGCCCGGCTCTGGAAAGGGGAAAGGGGTTAAAACTTACCTTTTCCAGCGCTGGGCGGGGCTCTCTCCTCCGATCCTCCTTCTCTCTCCCCGTCGGCTGAATGCGCCGCAAGGCTGCAGCGCTTCAGCGGTCACATAGGAAAGCATTCATAATGCTTTCCTATGGACGATGCTCTCACTGTGATTTTTCACAGTGAGAATCCAAGCGCCTCTAGTGGCTGTCAATGAGACAGCCAGAGAAATTTGGAAGGCTTAACCCATTCATAAACATAGCAGTTTCTCTGAAACTGCTATGTTTATAAAATAATGGGTTAACCCTAGCTGGACCTGGCACCCAGACCACTTCATTAAGCTGAAATGGTCTGGGTGCCTAGAGTGGTCCTTTAAGCTGGAGATAAGTGGGAAGGAATGGAAAAATATAAGAAAGCAAAGCATATTTAGTTATTGCACAAGAAAAGCTTCAAAATGGGCTATAAGAATTAAGGGACCCCCTCCCGCCCGGCTCTGAAAAGGGGAAAGGGGTTAAAACTTACCTTTTTCCAGCGCTGGGCGGGGAGCTCTCCTCCTCCGATCCTCTTTCTCTCCTCCCCGTCGGCTGAATGCGCGCGCATTCAGCCGGTCACATAGGAAAGCATTTATAATGCTTTCCTATGGACGCTGGCATGCTCTCACTGTAAAAATCACAGTGAGAAGCACGCAAGCGCCTCTAGCGGCTGTTAATGAGAGAGCCGCTAGAGGGAATAGGGGAAGGCTTAACCCATTCATAAACATAGCAGTTTCTCTGAAACTGCTATGTTTATGAAAAAATGGGTTAACCCTAGCTGGACCTGGCACCAAGACCACTTCCCTAAGCTGAAGTGGTCTGGGTGCCTAGAGTGGTCCTTTAAGGACGCAGCGAAACATCCCCTAAACTTTTTCGAATGCATATGCACCTCAGAAAACATACCTAGAGGACTGATTTCAACGCTCTATACACACTTCTGTACGGAGACTGGGGAATGGGGGGGACTGACCTACACCGAAAAGTGGGAGATGGATCTGGGAGAGGAGCTAGAGGGAGTAGAATGGCAGGAGATATGGGAGGCGAACAATACCTCCTCGGTCTGTGTAACTCACCAGGAACAGGCCTTTAAGACAATGTTTCGCTGGTACACAACCCCAGTGACATTGTACAAAATGCACAAAACCACTACAGACTTATGCTGGAGGGGATGCGGAGCCAGGGGAACATACCTCCACATGTGGTGGGATTGCCCCGGCGCGATCCCGTTTTGGTCAGAAGTACACAACCTGGTGCGACAGGTGTTCTCTAGGGCGCCCGCGTTGGAACCATGGGTATATCTCCTATACAGTTCAGTGGAGGGATGGACGCGAAGGGAACAAACGCTGCTACATAAGATTACGCTAGCCGCACGACAAGCAATGGCCTTTAAATGGTTACAGCAGGATCTACCACAAATATCGAGTGTGATAGGTAGGATAAAAGACATCCAATTGATGACCTTACGGCTAGGGTCAGGGGCACCACCAAGACCTTCCAAAGGGTATGGGAGCCATGGGTCGAATCCCTGTGGGGCGACTGAGGGGGCGGCCTAGGCAGAACAGACTGAGGTGGTCGTGGCGGCGGCCTGGGGGGAAGGCCCTGAGGACACACAGGCGATTTCCAATCGGGGTGTGTGCTGCGCTCTCTGCACCCCCTCTTCTATTCCCCACCCCCCCCTACTGCCCCTCGGCCTCCCGCGCTCAGACCCTAGACCGCCCAAGGATTCTTCTTTCTCTTCTTTTCTTTCTTTCTTCTTCTCCACTCTTTTAACCCTTTTCTATGGAGCACGTATAGGAGAGAGTGCTGATAAGCACGCAGCATATACATTAGATTTAGGCAGGCCAGGGGAGTGCAGCGGGGTATGCTTGGATCAAGAAGTAGCGAGGGTAGACGGGCGAGGGACACAACGACCCGACAGATATGCACTCGAGGGCGTGACAACACACTTGCGGTGCTTTGCGGTGCGAAAATACGCAACAGTGGCACACACAATAGGGTATGTAAGGAAATCGTGCTTCTGTAATGTAAAAATCTTGACGGACGGTGAAATCTGGCCGCAGAGAAGTTAACCGCATACACAAAGTCTCAGGGTTAGAATGGGATTTTAATATAATGATACATATGGACTTCTGAGAAAGCCGAAATGTGAATCTTATGCCACTGTTCCTGTCATGCAAAAAGAAAGAATTAAAAAAAAAAAAAAAATTAAGATTATTAGTACACTAAAGCTAGCATAATCTTCAATTTTACCATATGACAGGAGGCTTCATATTTTGCAATTTTAACGCTACTGTAAGAGGGAGAGTGCAGCGTTCGGAGGTGGACGAAAAGAAAAGGCCTGAATGGTGGACTCCCGTGACCAATCCGCCACTGCTAAAATGTCCGACAAGGAGGCCCCCGCCGCATAGCCGATTAAAGATAAAAGCCACCGTATCCATTGTGATTAGGTGGTAAGCGGACTGTGCGGTTTAACATAGGAGATTAACAGTTGCCGACAGGTTGTAGGTCGAATTGCAGTCGTAGCCTCTAAGTAAGCACGTAGAGTTAGTACCACACAGAGTTGAGGTTCCGCTGGGGAAAAGGTATAGAGAACCGTTGTCGAATCTGATTTCGTAAGTCTCAAAACCTGGAATTTGAGGCCCTCCAGAGAAAAGGAAAAAGCGTCCGCATCAAAAACCCGTATGTCTGAAACCCCTATGGAAGGAGACTAGACAAAGGAGGAGAGTCAACTTGGTCGACAATTGTCTGATTGACAGGTTAATGTTAGAAGGCCATTTCTTTAGGAATCATAGAACCTGGGCTACATCCCAAAAGATGGAGTTCTTCAGGGCCGGTGGTCTTCGCAGTCGGATGCCCCGAAGTAGGCGGGAAATCAGAGGATCCTGGCCTACGGGTTTCCCATGGCTACCTCTGTCAGTCGATGCTCCTAGTGCTCACCGAGGACTCAAAGCACTCCACCCGACACCATCAACGCCGCAGTCCCCAGTCCCCATATCCAGTGTTACAGCTTGGCTGGGAACTCGCCATCCTCCACCCACCCTGGACCCAAGACCAGAATCCAACTTACAGTGGATGAACCTCTCCTACTCCAGAGAGCGTAGCAGGAACAGCTCTTAAAAGAGCTTGTGATTATAATCCCAGGGGAGTATAGTGATATAGCAATCCCCAGGGTAGATACAGCCTTTTCCCCCATACATGAGATGAGACTCTATGTTGAGGGTAAAACAGGAACTCAATTTTAATGGAGGCACACTGGCCTTTTATGCAAGTTTCCCGACAAGGGTGACACCCAGGTGGACCTTGTTGGGCACAGGGACACAAAGTTAACAAACCAATAAAACCAGAGCTATACAGTAAGACACTCCCATAAGAAATATACAATCCCTCCTTTTTGCCTGGAAGAAAATTAGGGCAGATAATGCATGAAATTAATTATCCCCAGGCAGAAAAAAAACATATTTTTATAAAGTCTCATAAGTACCCCAAAACACAACATATCCCCTGATAGCCCTGATCTGGGTGAACAACATATCCAAAAATCACCCAGATCAGAGCAGGGGTTCAGGAAATTCCTGGAAGTGTCTTTTTGACTGACCACACGCATGGTTTCATGCCCAAAATAGTTCCAGAGAATTAGGCTGTTCGGCCGCTCTATTTCAAACAGTCGAAGTAACGTTCAAATAGTGGAAAGGAGTTGTTCGTGCACAGTGTCAGTGAGTGTATCTGGTTCGGTAGATTATTTCGTGAAATTCTAGTCAAACCTAACTGGAGGTGGAAGTCCCAGCGGTGTTCGTGCCGTTGTGTGTCCGATTTTAGTTCCATGAGCTCAACGACAAAACACAGCTGGACGCTTTCGACTAAACAAGATGGCCGCTGCCACATGATCGACTATACGAACGGCGACCACCAAGCCTTTCGTCAATAAAGCTGTGGTTAACCACAGCTTCTGGGAGATTAACAAGCAGCACACTCCACTTGTGGGTGGTCCGGCTGTTTGCAAGTTCGAAGTCCCACTTCTAACCACTTCGAAAGTTCGAAGTAACATTGTCAAAGGTCCCAATGGGCACAAATAGTGTTTTTAACCCAAAGTTCAAAACAGGGCCACCAGTGGCGAGGTCACTTTCGACACAACCATCGATTCGAAAGAGCGCTGCTCGGCGTCTATCTGACGAGAGGGCCACGTTCATGTTGCCCAAGAAGCAGAATCACCTTTGGGCCCACTCACTGATGTCATGCGCCCAATCGCGTACTATGTCTGCCGTGAAGGAGTCCACCTGTGCATAGGCTTGGTTTGCAAGCGTCATCACGCGGGCCAGTGGCCCTATAACATAACATCTAGTAACTTATCTTGGGCTCCTTTAAAGCATTTTTCAGCCCCCTTTCGACATGAAGGCCAACATGAGTTGGTTGAAGTCCGGAGTGAGCGCAACTTTGTCCGGCAACGCAGGTCAGGGGCACTCAGAGCGCAATCTCTTGCGGACCTCCTTGTCCAAGGCCTTCCTCAACCAAAAGTGCATAAACTTTGTGAGGTGAGGTGTCAGTGTCCAATCTCCTGAATGCGGATGGAGGATGTAACTCGAACATCCATCGACCTGTGGCATCATAGAAGCGCTCACTATCTGGCTGTTCTGAGGTCTCCGCCTTGTCTAAGTCCTCTTGTTGCTGTGGCTCACCCAGGAATGTTTCCTTAATGAAAGAGTTGTAACCCCATGTCTCGTCGTCTGACTGAGACTACTTGGCCTGCCATTCGTCCAGGATAAAGAGTCATGCTCCTCGTCCGAGGTAGCTTCATATACCCTCTGAGGCGCGGGTTGTACAAATTTGCCCTTTTTTTCGGGGTGCTTTGCCTTTGTTAGGCTTATGTTTGGACCCTTCTCCCTTCCAGTGGTGTTTTGCTGGGCGTGATTGTTCCTTAGAGGATGAGTCATAATCTTCCGATATCTCACTCGTCGAGAACGCTTGGGGAGAGACTTTGGTGGGTCTTGGGTAACCAGCATTGCCTTGGCTAGGGCCTTTTCAACCGAAGTGGCCACTGCCGCGTTAATAACAACCTGCAGGTCTGTTGGCATTTAGGACAGTTCCAAATTATCAGTGAATTTTGAGGTGGATAGGCACGTTGTGGCAGATAGTCAGCAGGGACCACCATGGGGGTTATAATGGCCTGTAAATATGTACAGCCCATGTATAGGCAGACAAGTTCTGGGGCTCACCCAGAAATAAAGGAGACTGCGTGAACAGCTTCGCTCAGCAGCGCCAATAAAATGGGGGCTCACCCCAAGCTGGAGCACTAGGCAATAAACCTGACCGGCTGAACCATCCTTAAGGTTTGCACTAACCTGTAGCAGATCCCTGAGATAGGCAGTAAGCAGATTGTAGAAGAAAATTCCACAGTTTTTCCACAGCACTGAGTCAATACATCCACACAGTATAAACTCCTATGCACACTTAGTGTTTAAAATGGCTGCTGGGACTCTCACAATGCAAAAGCCAAGATGTCCATTGAAAAGCCTGCGAATCTGCAATAGGATTCGCGGGAAAAACATGCGAACGGGATAATTTAAAAAATCTGCAAACTGCGCAGAGCCGCGAATGCCATTGTTCATGAACAAAAGTTTGCGGCAAAGATACAAACCCAATGGGAAAAAACTATCCACCGAACACGGATGACTGTTCGACATGTTCAGTAAGATGTGGATGATAGGCGAACGCTGGCGCCCGCTATACCAGCGAACAAGGGAATTTCACAGAACACGTAATGTACGTGTTTGGTTGGTAAAACGGCTCGAACGGTGAACGGTGGCATGCGAACACGTAACAGGAAGGAAAGCCCCATGAGGGCTTTATGATCACTGTTGTGAGTGCGCCATGCCGTGAGGACTCAACAAAGTGGCGAGCGCAGCCACAGAAAGGCGTGGATATATCAAGACAGATCGGTACCGTCGGTATAAGCCTGAAATCCAGGAACCTGTTGGGAAAACTAGAGCGGGGATGGAGGGAATGGGAGGAATAGGGAAAGCCTAGGCCCTCAGGCAGCTTAGAAGAAAGGGTGCAGGATCCCCCAACTCCCTACAGAAGTAACCTTCAAAACCATATAAAGCTGGGGGCGTGGCTGACTACGGAGCTGAAAAGTCGCATATCTGTGGAGCTCCGCTTCGGCCCCACAGATCAAGAGTCATTACACAGAGAAATCCGCTCCAAAACCACACAGCTTACCTGCCACCTGACAGCTGACAATATGGGGCGCGAACATAGGAAGCAAACCCACATGGAGCAACCCACAGCACCCATCAGGCTTGCATTCCAGAGGCCTACACAGTCGCGGCCTGCCAAGATGGCGCCGGAGCCGCAGAGAGAGCTGGAGATCTCTGACGAATCCCAAGAAGAGAGGGACTCCCAAACCTCACCACAACATGATGATGACCCTCACAGGTCTGACTCAGAGGATGATGACTCTCCATCCACAAAAGGGGACATCAGAAGGCTGCTGACAGACCTAAGACAGGTCTGGAAGGCCGGTTTAAAGGAGACCAAAGTTGAAATAGGGGTCCTACAGCATAGAGTATGGGAGGTGGAGGCCAGAGAAAAATCCAGAGACAACCAACTCCAAGACACCAAGCAGCAGCTGGACGGACTTGCTGAGCAGGTCCGGCGCCTACACGGAACGGTGGTATCACTTGAGTCCAGACACTGCAACATACGCCTCAGGGGCATCCCTGAAACAGTGGGCGGAGAAGACCTACTACCCTTTGTCCAGAGACTTACCTCTTCAATGGGCCTCAGGTGTAACCCAGACACCCCACTGATACTATCCACCTTCTGAGTACACAAATCGCCAGCAGCACCTGCAGGTGCCCCCAGACACACGATAGCTACCACCAGAAAAGTAGCAGCGAGAGCCGCCATCATGGCCAGTTCTAGACCATTGGGGTCAGTAAACTTTGAGGGGTGCGAAGTGGCCATGTACAGTGACCTTCCTTTTGCTGTACTGGCCGCAATGAGACAACTGGCACCGGTCACCAAGAGACTGAGAGAGCACTCCGTCCGTTACCGGTGTGGCACGTAGGGGTCATTGGTGGTGCATTGGTGTATTCACTCTGACCGCAGGGGAGGACCCAGAGACATTCCTCAAAAAGCTAGACATGGTAGCCAACGGGCACAGCAACAAAACTGAGAAACGCAACACTTAGTTATCATAACATTGTTATTTATATGGTTCTTAGGAGTTTCTTCATACTCTTAACTCACTACTCCACACCTATTAACCTAATCACCTAACTGACTTTACATTCACAGAGCAAGTCAGTAGCGGAAGCTAAAGTTACATAACCTCATTAAGCAGTGTTCTCCGTATAAATGTAGTAACGGGCAACGAAATACCTTGCAATGCTACTGTACAGATCTCACTGCAACCGTGATTATTGCTATGTTTGTAAACCCAACTAAATGTACTTGTTCTTGTTATAACCTATCCAATAGAAAATGTATACTGTGTGTACAAAACTCAATAAAATACAAATTTAAAAAACAAACATAAAGCTGAAAAACAGCAATAAATACACAAATAAGACAAGCCAGTGACAATGTGAGACACACAATATTCTGACCTGACTTGTGATGGAGCAGCAAAGAAAGAGAAATCGCCTCAGAGGGAGAAGCTTGTTATATACTCTGCTTGTGTCTCCATTTTTTTTTTACATGCTCTTTGTTGCTGTTGAGTAGTAAAGGAAGTTAAATGCTAAATATGAAGCCTCCTGTGATGGTGTAAAATTAGTGAATCTTAGTTCAGAGGTGGGCAATCTGCTGCCCCCCAGATGTTTTGGACTACATCTCCCTTGATGCTTTGCTAGCATTATGGCCCTAAGAGCATTATGGGCAGGGCCGGATTAACATAGGGGCTGATGGAGCTGCAGCTCCAGGCCCAGGCCCATGGAATAGGCCCATTGATTTATATAAAAAAAAAAATTATTTTTTTTTTTTTACATTTTTTTTTTTTCACACACTACTCTTAGGAATTCCACCTGGCTTTTATTTTATTGGCACAGCCAGTATTTGAGGCTGCCTGGCTGGTGCAAATATTACAGTGATACTGGCAATACAAATGCTGGTATTTTTCTCAGTATAAACAAGAGATTACTATGCAATACCAGCACTGGCCAGTAGGGGGTCACTGTGTGTGGAGACAGGCAGGGATAGGAAGTTCCAGCATATCCCTCCCTGCCTATCTATACTCACTGATCTGCAGGGGTGCAGCTACAGAGAGTCCAGACAGCAACTCCCACCCTGCAGAGACAGCCTACAGCTCAGGGAAGTAAGGAATGGGGGGGGGGAAGGCTGCAAGGAGACATGGGGACACTGAGACACTAAGGGAAATTGGGAGACATATGACACAGAAACATGGGGACACAGTGTCCCCATGTCTCCCAGTGTCCCCATGTCTTCCAGCCAGTGTCCCTGGTGTCTCAGTTCCCCCTAGTCTCCCAGTGCCCAGAGTCTGCCAGTGTCTCACTGTCCCCATGTCTCCCAGTGCCTCCATGTCTCCCAGTGCCTCAATGTCCCCATGTCTCCAAGCTAGTGTCCCTAGTGTCTGTGGCCCTGGTGTCTCCTTGTCCCCATGTCTCCCAGTGCCCCCATGTCCCCCAGCCAGTGTCTCTAGTGTCTGTGTCCCTGGTGTCTGTGTCCCCATGTCAAGTGTCCCCTATTTTCCCAGTGTCCCCATGCATCCCAGCC